GGGGGTGTTTTGGAACGCGAACGGTGGGGTGTGCCACCGATTGGAGCCGTGAAGTCTGAATGGAGTGCTGGCGATGGGGGATTGTCCACGGTGGGTGTTGGGACCAGCTCGGCGTAGAGCCATTGGTCTGGGTTGGGCTGTTTGTTAGCCGCAGAGGTAATGGAAGGAGTGGTGGGTGGTGCTGCGGTGGGTCGTGTTGGTGTGGATGGCTGTGGAGAGGTGGTGGCTTGTGAAGCAGCTTTTGGAGTTGCAAAGGAAGGGCAGCGTACAATGGCGTGGATGTCTGTTTGTTGATAAGTGTGGCAACTGTCCCGCCGCGGGGTGGTCTGCTGGGCTTCATGAAAAGTTGGAGGGGTGATCACAGTGTCAGTCTGAGTGGAGGTGTGACAGTTTTGCGTGCGTGGTGTGGTCTGCTGCTCTTCATGAATGGCGGGAGGGTCAATCATGATGTCGGTTTGTTGGGTGCGGTGGGTGGGGAAATGTGTAGGTGTGGTCTGTGTGGAGTTGTGCTGCAGGACCAAGGTCCCGGCGGGGAATGTGCGGAGATAATGACGAACGGTTGGTGGAAGGTGCACAGGTTCCCCTGGCTGCAAGCCACTTGGGGTTGGGAATGGTGGTTCAGTGGTGGCTGGTATTGGATGGTCGTCAGTTTCCGCGTCCGGGTTGCGGAGATAGACGCTGGGCGGATGGCGTCCCAAAGAGTCGAGGGCGTTGAGGGCCCGCCGAAGGTGAACGTTGGCCAGGTTGTTGGTGTTGTAGTGGTGGATATGCCTTTGGAGAGCTGGTGGTATAGGGCTTGCTGAAAGGGTTGATGGAGTAGTTGTGTTTCGGTGAGGGCTTCGTTGTTCGTGAGGTGTTGATGCAAAGTGAACCGGTGTAGATTGAGGTCGGTGAGGACGCCGCAGAGGACGTTGGGTGGTTCTGCTGTGAAAACTGATGCCCAAAAGGAAGTGTCGCTTCCCTCCTCAGGAGGCTGCTGAGAAGCCATAGCTGAGATTCGAACGTAGGAGGCAGGGGCTGCGTGTCGTTGAAAATGGCTGCGGTGAATGTGTTGTGTCATGAGAGCAATCGCTGTCAAACAGTGAAGGGGAACGTTAGAAAAAGAACAAAAAGTCGGTACTCTGGAAGAGGTGTGAGGACATTTTTTGCATCTGTGGTAGCTATCTGCGATAGTATCTGGTGAAACGAGGAGAGTGGCGGTCTTTGGCAGCAGGTGATCACGGCATGGTCATATTCGTAGCGGCTGCTGCAGCTGCACTGCGGGCAATCCGTAGAATGGCGTCGGTGAGGTTGTTAGCTTGCTGCTTGCTGGTCTGTGAGATGTAGGTTTGGAATGGGAGGAAGTGGTGGAAAAAGTGCTGGTGGTGCCAGTTGTGGTGGTGGCGGAATGGCGCAAGGAGAAAAGGCTGCTGGTGGCGCGGGACATGGTGGCGCTGAGGTGTCTGGCTGAGAGGAGTTGGCGGGCGAGAGGGTGCGGTGAGAGTGGGAGGGTGGAGAACGAAATGCAAAATTTAGTGGAGGAGGTGTTGGTCGAATCAAGGTAGTGAAGGACGTGGTCCGAAAAGTTGAACGGCATAATTTTGCCGTGGCAGCGTGGTCTGGGAATCTTGACTTGTGCTTGGCGGTGAGTAGGAGGTGGAGGGGAACTGAGGTTGCTGGAAGAAGAGTGGACGAGCGAACGAGCAAGGGAAGGTGGGGGAACGATGGGGGTGGATGGAGGATGAAGTGGTGGAGATAGTCGATGGGGCGGTTGCCCGGGACGTGATTTCTGTAGTATTGGGACGTTGGTGGTGAGAATGACTGGGTCTTCACTGCTCGTGGAAGAGGAGGGCGATGGAGGGGGTCGCTGAGAAGGTGGTTTGATGTCTGCTTGGTGAGTGTTCGAACTTGGTTGTTGCAGAGTGTGGGCTGTAGTGCGGGTAGAGCGGTTGCGATGGGCTGGAGGAAGAATAGGTGATGTTTTTGGTGGTGGTGGCAGTGTGGCGGTGGTGGATGCCGGCGGTGTGGCGAGGACAACAGCGGTGGTGGCTGCGTCCTCTTGCTCGACGTCTTCAAGCTTGACGTCCTCGAGCTTGATATCTTCCTGTTTTGCAGCCGGTGCAGTGTATGGGTCTGTTTTGACCTCTTCAATGAGGGATGGACTGCGATCCCAGTCTGGTGATTCGAGATCCATGGGCAGTGCTGAAAGTCGTGTTGGCGAGAATCACCGGATGAAATAAAACAGCTGCGGGTAAATGAGATTGATGAAGACACAAGTGGTATTGAGTATGATTGACAATGTAATCAAAATCTGACCCTGGTAAGAAATCGCTACAGCACAGATTACACTTTTCAGGAAACCAACTATCTTGAGTAAGCGGTGAGACTGAGGGCTAATAGGGATGACCGGTGGGGTCTCGCTGCGGCGTCATAGTCCAGGATGCTGAAGGTGTAGAGGATGAAGCGTTAGGTGGAGTCGTTGTTGCTGTCCATAAAGACTGGTGGAGCTGACTGCGGTGGTTGGGTGATGGTGTGATGTCTGAGAGTGGCTGGCGGCGGCTGATGTAAAGGTTTGGGTTGTGGGGTGAAGTTGTAGTGTTGTTGGGCGATTGCCTGTCCCGTGATCGTGAACGATCGCTTTTGCTCAGAACACTAATTGCTTCACGCAAGTTGCTCATTGTCACCACCTTACGCAGATCCGTCTGCGCGACGGGTACATGATAATTTGATCCTGACGCACTGTCAGGGCTCAAACCACCATTAGTAATGGCGGTGTTCCCAGGCACCACTCCAGCGTTCTGCAAGAAACCAACTTCACTGAAGAACAACACAGTGACTGGGTCCTGGAATCTATAAGCCGTGCAACATGCCACCAACTCCTTCGAGTCTGCAACGATCCCAAACTGAGGCTCAGCAATGAACTCCGAAGCGCCACCAGGCGGCTGCATCAATATACCATCACCTTCTTTTTCCAAATAAGGCTCAATCACAGGTTCTTCAGCCAGAAGCAACCTGATCACGGCAGCAAGCAAGCTCGTCAAGCCTTGAATTGTGCAAAGTGATAGGTACAGTTGTTCCGCGGCGCAATCCATCAGCTTCATTCAAAAATGCAGCAACACTACAAGAGACATTGCCACCATACTTAGCCCTAGGAGGATAGCTCATTCCTCGGATCTCATCTTGCAGGGAAATACAATGAGCCACAACCTGGAAATTCAACCAGATCCTAGCCCACAAGCCAAAATGACTCTGCAGATGTGATGATCCGAGGTCGAATTGCTGCACAAGTGATGACGCCATTGTGTTAGTGTCAGATCTAGTGGTTGTCTTTGGCGGATATGGCGTGGCAGGGTCCACTGCCAAGTTGCCAATATAACCAGCAAGAGTTCTGGCCAAGCTAGCAGCTATCAACCGCCAATGGCATTTTAAAGACCACACGATAACTGGCCAAATGCCGAATCACGTTGTGATGGACGAGTTTGACACCAGCCAGTGCATCTTCAACCACAGAAGTGGTATTTCTGACACAAACCACATTGTTCTCAATGTTCTGAGATGAAGGTAGCTTGATGCTAGCATCGATTGGTACCAAAATTTCGACTTGACCTCCCCTACACAAGGGAAATCGAGTGTCAACCTGGTTGTTCTGGCACTGATCGAAAATCTGCCTCGACACCAACCACTCCAAGAACCCAGTCGCCCCGGTGCTATCATATTCTTCAGAAAGCACTGGCAGTTCATTGAAGTGTTGGTCCCATTGTTTCTTCTTGTCCTTCTCTTCAGACATCAGCAAGGATCACGTACACACTCAGCCAAAATAGCTTGAGCCAAAATGGCTGTTTTCCAAAATAGTAGAGCAGGTCCACAGTGGGGCGTCCCCCACTGCATCGGCACCTACTGGCACCTACTGGCACCCTCTTCGTCGGACGGGAAATGCCAGTGGTGTCCCGTCCCCCTGCTCCAAACCGAAACGTTCTTTGTGAGTCCAAGGGTTACACACACACACACAGGACCCCTCCAAGGGCTGGTTAGTGGACTCCCCTGAACCTCTAGCGCGCAATTAACAAACATCCCTCGGGTTGTCCTGGTATGTATTTGCACAGTTGTTTATCCTGAAATTTAAATTCATCTTGGAGGGCTTTAACCTCAAACATCTTACTGTTCAGCTAGTCTCAATTGTGTTTGAGTATCCAGTATCAAGAGAATACCTGCTGATCATACATAACATAACATACAAAACAAAACAACAAAACACCTACAACATCAATTTGTAGCAACACTTCAAGGACTCAAGGTCCCTCAACTGATTCTTCCAAGAGAAGGACTCACGTTTCTTCTTACATACGTTTCAGGACCTGACCGAGCCACAGGGGCAAAGCACCGTCACCGTCATCAGCTTGGGCTCCGCGGTGAAATCACCTGAGCACCGCACCGACACGGTGCGACCGGTGTTCGGACGAATCCGGTCTGGGACCCGGAGAAGCTGGGGTACCCTGGCCTGGGATAGTCGGATAGTCTATAGGCTTCTTCAACCACTGGTACATGGCTGTTCCTGACCTCTCGGAATCCCTTCCTGTTCGTGACAACATGGGATGGCCACAGAGGCCGGCTCCTGGACCCATCACAACAAACAATATGTTGTTTGGTTCACACGACTATATGTTGTTCGTCACATACCCAAACGCTCCATGGGACTGCCATATGCCTACATTGTCCCCCCCTGGCACCACCCCAACCGATCGGCATATAATCCATACATGGAGTGTTTGGGATATGTGTACACCAAATACGCACGAAACATCGCCGGAACCAAAGACCAACGACTGAAAAAACCATCGCCGGAAGCGTCTGAACGCGTTGGTCTGGAATCACTCCGTCTTGGGGGATAGGTCCGTCTTACGGCTCCGGCCGTCACACTGTCACACTCTCAGACCATGCAGGCAACTGACAAAGTCCTGAACAAGACCATGAACTCATGAGAAACCCATGGGGGACTAATAAGGTTCGTCAGCTCAGCGTCTTCAGGACCTTTCCATCACCGTGAATCGAATGAACGAGCTGTCGTGGGTGATATCGGTTGCTGTTTCAGCCTCTTCAATCACGAAGCCTGGGGCGCAAGAATCTGGCGGAACTACATCCACCCTCTTGACCCTGGCATCTTCAACTACAAATTCTGGTATCCCTCCTCTTCCTGTCACAGCTCCAGCTCCCCATCCCCAACTGGGCCCGGTGCCCAGCAACTCGGAGTTCCACTTGCCCAAGTAGTCCTGGCGCAGAACCGGCAGCTCCGTCGTTGGGTGGAGTTGGGAGAGCTGCGGGCCTTGTACTGCCATGCTGTGGGTGTGGGTCAACACCTGGAGCCGTTGGTTTTTTGGGCACGTCGTCGATTTGCCGCTGAATTTTCGATGCGTGCAGATCATGAAGAGGAATTGGTGTTCCATCACAGTTTTACCTGCATGCGTGTTCACAGTTTGCTTGAGATTTGTTCAAACCATTGTTATCCGGTATAGCCTAGCTGTTAGGTTCCTACTCCTACCAAGACCCGCTGTGAGTAATGGATGCGTCAGAGTGTCGCGGCGATTTCGCCAAAGCGTTGCCCCAAACCAGGGTAGGTTGACCTCCTTGGTCGTCCATTCGGTTCATTTCCTCTCGACCGATCTTCGGGAAACCGACGATGGCCGAAAGCACGGCGCGGCCGAGGCACTTGGACCTAGCCATTGAGAGTTGCTGGGAACTTGAGAGTTCCAGGATGTTCCAGGATGTTCACCGACCGTGATGCCGAAAGCTAAATATCTATCTCAGCTAGGAACCAAATTTAAATCACTCTTCTCCACTCCCTCCGCCCCCACAGGTTTTTGGCGTCCCCTCCTGAGGGATGATCGACTCGTCGTTCAGCGGCTTTGGCTGATCGACCACGTAGCACCTGAGAGGGAGGCATGGCACGGTGCCACAACACCGGAACGACCAACTTCGAAGCGTCAGCGAAAGAACTGCAGGATTGGCCCCCATAAAATGGCTCACATAGAAACCGCAAACATGGCAAAATCGCCACAGGAGAGGAAACAAGATCTTCCATCATCTTCCTAACCACCTCTGAATTCATGTTGGTTCACTGGAGGGTGGCTGTTCATGGGCATGGGGAAGCCTGAGACTGCCAGATTGCTAAGAGGGCACTCTTCCCTAAAAAGGTTCCGAATTTCTCTGGTGTCAATCAAACATGCACCAAAATATGATCAAACGGCAATCAAACGCACTTCTTGGATTCACTGAAGTTATATATCATCTTGCCACAACAGCTGAACCTCACTCTAGCCAACCTCCCTCTACAAACGTGCTCTATACCTATACATATTATACATAAGAATATCAGGCAATTAAATCGCAATTAACCTCACATATATTACATCTTGGTTCTCAAATATGTTACTATTATATCTTACTTGTCGAGGCACTAACCCTCATTCTAGTTCGACTCTTCAGAAGCCTCGGCCTCAACTAGATGTTGCTCAATATACATTAATGTGTTGTTTACATTTCTCTTCTTGGAAGCACGCACAAGTCGATCCGGTTTGATCGTTTTCGTTCGCAATCGGATGATCATCCTGCCCTGCCCTCAACACACAAACATGTCTATGGGTCATGGTACGCGGACCCCATTTCAGCCCGGTAGATTAACCTCCAAACATGTCTCTTGTCTTCATGTTCGGTGAACACGAAGGGCCAAGGTCGGGACGTCTACGCGGTCCGCTGCGGGCTTTTTAGGCGCCACCCGCTCCGGGCGCGTGCGTTGGGCCGTGCCTGTAGTAGATCACGAAGGCGGACGCATCAATGGCCAAGACCTGGTCGAAATTCCGCGAGACACGGCCGTGGGAAGTGAAACAACGACCAGTTTATAAGACAGTCCTGGGCCCCTATAATCCTATTGGGAAGTCTTTTTGACCCGCAGGCATGTGTATTTGCATGGATGAAACGGCAAAATGGTCATCTGACGTCGTGTTCATTGGTGGTTTCATCCCTTTGAGGACCGGATTCGAGGGAATGCTTTCGATCTCGGTCGACTCTTGCGGAATGCAGCTGTCCTTTGATATCGTTGTTTCAATGGTTTCAATTTATTGCCCAGTGGGCTTCTATAGGTTTATGGCTTTAGTCTTCGGAACCACGTATACCAGCGAACTAGTGGTTGGAATGGATCTCCTGAGTTAAGAATGATCAACGTTGTAATGACATCCAGTCAACCAATTCAGCCAGTCAACATATTTACATGTTAGATACCTTCGTTGCAGTCTTCCTTCGACAAGCTTGTCATCTCATTCCCAGTTGACCTCCTATATTGACTTGGTCAAGTTTGCGGCCCTGCCAGGACTCACCAAAGATGCTACACAACCCAATGGACAGCATATGTTGTGGCTACCAGCTGATCAACCCATGCTTGTTCTTAACTTCCTGGCTAGTATTGTCAGCTTGTACAGTCAGCGTCGCCAACACAAAAAGATGTGGGCACGTGGTCGTGGTCGCATCGCAGTCAAATCTGTCTCAGATCCGCTGTTTTGAGTTTGACCTGAGCTTTCAAAAGCCGAGAGTTGTGCTATAGTCGCTAGGACCACATTGGAGGCTGTGACTGCGGGACCTGTTCTCGCTGGAAAGTAAAAGCTTCAGCAAGGCAAGCAACAGCCTAAGTTGCCAAGCTCAGGCCTGAACTTTCCCAGATTCGCCGAAGCCGATTTCCTCTCAGTGGCCTGGCCCTGCTTTGGAGGGCCTATGAAATAGACACCATAGATCTTCAAGCCCCTGTGGCTCTGGGTCAAAATCTCACCCTACAAACCATGTGAGGTTGACATCCCTTATAGAGGAACGTGTTCATTTTCACAGGTCAACCAGCGGTGCAGGGGGGTTTTCACCCACAAGCATGTCAGTTTGACCAGCCAAGATGGTGGATCCGGATCCGGCAGTTCGGCGGATCGCGCCCCAGGACCCAAAGGAGGTGGGCCCAGGCGACTGTGGCAGGTCCCTCCACTGGGGACCAGTTCTGGGCCGTGTCTCGCAACAACTTTCTCGCCACGTCTCAACTGTCTCACAACAGCCCAGAGTGAACATGCGCCACAGGAAGCGGGCGATGCTGTTCATGCACGGCGATGCTGTTTTGGCGGTGCACATGCTTCCTACGCGTTTGGCAACACATCGGAACGCTCTCGGAGCTGCATTGTCTCCTTGGTGGAGCGATGAAAGAGTGTCCGAGCTGCAGCTTCTCCACGTGCCAGTGCATCCGCACGGTGCCGATGCTCTTGGCGACGATGAAGAAACCGCTCAATGTAGACTCTTGATCAATCAACCCCTCTGCTTGAATTGGACATCCTCTTCATATGGAGGAGAAATAGAATCAAGAGTCTACATGATGCTCCGGCAGGTCCGCCGCTTTTTTTTGCCACCGAATGCGCGTACATCACGCCAAGCTTCACAGATGCCCACCCTCGCTGCCGCCAGGATCTACAGCGTGAAGCAGCCGTTGAGCCCTGGACGGTTCCAAACATGGTTCGTCCACTCTTTGAGCCTTCTACACACTGACGACGTCTAAATTGACGAGGTCTAAAATCCTTAGAACACAATGCTTCTTTGGTTTAAACAACCTTCAACATCAATGGTGGATGGAATCCGATATGATTTGAGGTGCATGGGTCGTTTCTGGTACGGTCTAAGCGAATTAAGCGAAACCTCCATGGACCGGCGAAGGTGAAGTGATTCACTACCGCGGTGGGGGTCCTTCCAGGTCTTTGCCATTCGGTGGAACCGTCCATCCAGGTCCTTCGTCCTAAACGACGGACCGGGATTGAGTGGGCCACCGAATGACCAATCCATGAGACTGGAAGAGTTAGGGGATCATGTTCATGGGGTAAATGTATATATCCCATTACCAGTAACAGGGGATGATGATGGTTCGGCTGCAGGCCTTTTTTCAATATAGTCATCATCTTTTTCTGACGGTTACTGGCAATGGGCTACACCCTAGGTAAATGTATGGTAAATGTTAAATGTACGTAACTAGTCCCATGGATGGTCTGGGTGGGATCCCACCAAGACTGAAATTTATAACTGTCCCATGTCTCTCCAAAGTATTTGCTGGCCCAGCTGGCACAAACCAAACAGCCCTGGCTCAGGCCGCAAAGTAAAAACAACACCTGGAAGACTTGAGGGCACTTTCAGGTCGCCATGGGGCCTCAAAGCGTTCTTTGAACATTTTGAGGGATCATCTTCTCTGGATCAACACCCGCCCCACAACTACACCATCCAGGTTAGAGAAGATCTTGATCAAACCTGGTTTTATCGCACAAATCCTCATCATATGCTACCATGCAGTAAAAAGTACCAGCTTACTTTGTTCTCCAGCATCCCTCCCAAACATCATGAAAACGTTTAGGTCTCAACCAATCCGCCCCAAAAACCCGCCAGATCACCGCTTTGATTCCGTCGTTCTTCTTCGGGCCCCCGACCGCCGAGATCACCGCGATGAAGTGGATGGCCTCCCAACCTGCGACGGCCGCGAATCGATGGGAAGAAAACGAGAAGCTATTAAATTCTAATTAAATTCTAATAGCCAACATTGTTACTACTAGTAAGGCACTTGTTACTAGTAGCTTCTTGTTACTAGTAAGGCACTTGCTCCTAGTAGCGAGGCACTTGTTCCTATACAAATGTTTGAGTCTAGCTATACAAGAAGCTATAGCTATAGACTCAAAGCTATACAAACGAGAAGCTAAAACATCCAAAGAGGTGTTACAATCTGGCTGGGTTGGTTCATCAAGATTCGACACTACAGTGCTGAAAACCAAACATGACAGTGCTGAAAACTGAGAGACTCAAATCTGTGAGGAGCATTGATGTCGTGCCAACCGGAACCAAAGACCTCGCAACGAATCGAAGCGGTGTGGCTGGTCTACCTCAAATGAGTATTTTGGGGCAGTAAGTGGTTCTAACTTCTATGACACTATGAGCTTGTTTTCTCTGTCGAGAGGTTTCTTCTGTTTGGGCCGTCTCAACCTGTATGTGAGTCGCTCTACTCTTCTGTTCCTCTGGCATTCTTTGAGCCTTCTTAGCAACTTTCTCAAAACTTCCTTCTTTGCAAAGGAACCTGTGAGTCAGCCAGGCGATTTTAAAAGAAAAGACCGGTGAATCAAAGGAAATGAACATCTAAAAGCATCCGTCTTCGAGCTCTAGACAAGTCGAAAAGAATCTTGTTCTTATACTGATTGAGGTATCCTTCGTTCCACGTTCTTTGAAAGGCCCTACACCTGGGAAGATTAACATGGAACCTGAAAATGAACGTTTGGAAGACTATATATCCCTAGGGCTCCAAGTACCTCCTCAGAAGGTATTTGGACCCTCTAAACCCACCACAAACACCTTCTTAGAAGGTATTTGGAGCCCTCTACAACCTCAACCCGGTGGTCTTCAGGTTCGATGTTAATCTTCCAGGGTGTATCCTCCTGACCAAACCATCTCCGCCAAGACACAGGTGGGAGGTGTGTCGGACCACTGGCCGTCCTCAGTAGCCCGAAAACGCGCGGACGATCGAAGAAAGGAACTTGTTGGGTTTTAACTAACTCACTTGAACAAAAAGTGGCAGTGGGTTCAATCATCACAAGTAAAGGGTGAACATACATGAATTATGAACATACAAATATCTGGAACCACCACCCAGATGCTCCAGGGCTAGAGGAATCAAAACATCAACTAATTCAGCATAGTTTATATTAATGCCAAGGGTCAATGGCTACGTCATATTATATATTGGTATTTGGGAATCACATTTTTATTGTAATATGAATTTCTTATTGGCGATTTCCTTGTCTTTCATATTCATTCATTATGTAAATTATAGACACGTGGGCAGCCAAACGAGGACGGTCATTGGGGTTGGTTGGAGTTATTGTTATATTTTCACAGAGGTTTTCAGGCAGGTCTGGCACCCGATATTACACTTGTAAAAAGTGTCTGGTTTTCCTACAAAAAGAGCCGTTGAAGCCAGTGATGAATTTTTGTGTTGGAGAAGGATTTCGGCCACCAAGTTGCGCCCTGCTCATATCTCGTACTAGAAGCATCTCCCGCGGTCCCGCCTAACAGTAAAAAAGTATAACACAAGAGTCTCAAGAGAATCCAATTCAAGACTTGGGAACAGGCGAGTTGCTGAAGTGGCTCCAGTAGGATTGAGATACCACTTACCAAGCAACCGACGCCACACTCGAGACCTGATTACCCCTTGTCAGGACCTCAAGGCCATTCGTCCGGGCTGTGTCTCCTTGTGTCACCATCCGCACCCAGCTGAGTCACCCGCACCGAGCCACACACAGAGGTGCCACTCCCCGTTAAGGGTCGAATGCCTCGTGGACGCCATGTCGAGCGGGCTGGAACTCGGCGCGGTTCTTCGCACGCGGGCTGGAACTCCGTCACCGGTGTTGGTTTGGCGCGTTCGCCGAACCGGCTGCCGCTTTGGGGCTCCGGCTGCAGCTTCTGAGAAGGTGCGGTGACGGTGAGTTTCGAGTCACCATCCGAGGAGGTTTGATGCTGAGAGCCGGTTGGTTTGATGCCCTTCCAGCATCTGAAGAGCGGGGTCCTACCTCTTTAACCGCTGAGAACCATATGTTCTGTTGGCGTTGATCAGCATCCCCTGTTGCCGATCGAACAAGGAATGCCTGCCCAGTGGGGGGAATCTTCTGGTGTTCAGTGCATGAAGCCCCGTTAAGTTATCAATAGTTATCAGCTGGCCTGGTCCATGGAAGGGCATACCTGGAGTCTCAGTTCGTACCTCGGAAAATGGGTACAAATACCTGTTCTTTTATGGGGTCATGTACCATTTTCTAAGGTACTTTGGAGGGTCCGGGTAGGTTGATTAGAAAATGGAAGGAAAACCATCGAAATCATCTTCACAGTTTTGTCCGATGGGCCTCGATCTCGGATCCAGTCGTCTCAAATCACGGAAAGAGAGGGGCTTACAGTCCTTCAAATCACCCCAGCCATTGTTCATCTTTCTCCACATACTAACTGTCCCTGTTGCTGATTGTTGATACAGTGGCACACACAAATGTATATATATATATTATATATATATTATATAGCCATTTTGGAGACGAAGCCGCTAACATCGTCAGCAAAGAAATTGAACACCAAAGAAGGATATCAATACTATAGTAAATGTCGAAACACTGCTGATATGATTAAACAATCGATAAAACCATACCATTTTGGTGAGAATCACCTCACGCATTCGGAGTCCCTTGGCCTTTGCAGGTGAAGGTCGCCTCGCTCGGATAAAGCCCATTGTTGGTGAGCCTGGCACGGTTTGACAGGTGTCCGTATCACACAGTCATAAGGGTATTTTGTCCGCAGTACCATGTGGTAAACGTGCAACTTATATACTGATCTGATGGAGAACTAATTAGACCAAAACCTGTGATCAGGCACCATACTAATTCTAGGTTTAAAGCTGTAACCATACTATTGTACACCAACACACTATACTAATTAGCTGCCTAACACCTGTGTTAAAGACCTGAAATGTTTGCGATGAGATAGTAGTGCAAACCAACATCCTGCGCAGGAAACCAGTTCTCCAGTGACCATAAAACTTAGTTGCCCAGTTTTGCATTCACAACACCGACTCCCACCAAACATGTTCGGCCTTTGCTTGACCTGCTGCTCCAACAAACAACTACCGTACATACGTAGTGGCTATTCCCAACTTGCACATTCCATGCGCAAAACAAACACACGCATATAATTGCTCTTCGCAGCCTATACCCAGATACGACCGAAAGGACTGGAAGACTTATACATTGACGCCAGGTCAACCACGGTGGTGAAGAAGGCCTTTTTCACGGCCCATCTTCGGAAGATGTGGTCTTTTGCGCTCCAGCCATAGCTTCTAAGGAAGGTGTTTGGGCTGGGTGTCAGGAGAGGTCCAATCATACCTTCTGAGGAGGTACGACTGGAGCCGTAGCTGGTCTTTTGGAACCTTTGGAAGCTTTTGGTGTCTGGCCCAGACAGTCTGGCGCCCTCGTGAAGAGTGCGGCGTCTGCGGCCACCAGCTCTTGCGAACATGTGCCGCAGGGTGTTCAAATTGCCCTTGTTACTAGTAGCGATGCACGTTGCTACTAGTAACAAGGCCATTACTACGAGTGACAAGAAGCTACGAACGTAGCGATGCCCTTGTTACGAAGCTACTTGTTTCTAGTAGTGATGCCCTTAGTAGTCCTGTTGGCTGGTAAGTATGTTGAAGTTCCGGGAAAAAAAAAGAACAAGAAACTTCAAACGCTGTTGCAGCTTCACAAATGGTGCCAGAATGCCAAACAACATCAAACAACATGTACCCTTTCACTGTGTCTGGAACACTCTGAATTGTTAGTGCAACATTTCGGACAACTCGTATTGTCTACCAGAAACCCGGCGTTGAAAGTACTTTCGGCAGTTCTCACACCACTTAACTCACTTGTTCAACTAACTCATCCATTGGGAAATATCTATTCGCTGTAGCAGTGGATAATGGTTAGGTTAGGTCTGACATCTCCAAAATATGGATGTTCTTGTTTACTGACTCTTACAGGTCATGGGACGACAGCCAACTCATCCAGACCGTCAAACCCCAGACGCGCAAAAGCAGCATCCGACCTCACAGAACCGTAGTTTGGAGCCGCCAGCGGGGCGCACTGCACGAAGTGCAGCGCGTCCCAGCGGCCACCCTGGTGCTTGGTTCGGGACGCCAGGTGGGCGGGTGCTCGAGATTCATGGTGCTTTGTGATTTAAAAGGGACTGTTCACTGAGACAACAAATATATGGATTCTATATGGACATGCAAGGCCATTCTGGTATGGGGGCTTGTTCATGTCAACATTAGGGTCCAAATGCAATTTACTCTGCGTTGCCCCAACAAAAGAAATATTGGACTTCTCATTAATAGCTGAGAAGTAATGTCACCATATCTACTTTGGCTGTCGTGTCCATGAATCCCCCTCAGTACAGACCAGGTACCGCACAATTGGTAACCCAGTTGTCACCGGCTGTGGCAACTTACAGCTGTCATTTTCTCCACCTGCTCAACACACCCGTTGATCGCTGAACAACAACGCCTTGTACCGCTGTCCGGGATGACCTGACCATTCCTGTCCCCCAAAGAATCCAAAGGACCGAATACATGCGGAGAGAAAAACGACCATTCACCAGTTCCCAACAGATTCTTCAAGGCGTAGACCGTATACCTTTCTAATAGCTTCTTGTTCCTAGTAGCGTGGCACTTGTTACTACTAGTAAGGCACCTGTTACTAGTAGCGATGCACTTGTTTCTAATACCGTATACCTACTTTTCCAACCCCAAACACGACCCATGGGACTGGCATATTTACATCAACTGGGTTGGTGTCCAACAGATTCTCCTGGGATGGAGCACGGTTCACTATTCTTCTTGGCCGCAACCCGACCAAGTGGCTGTGGTCAAAAAATGAGCCCTAATCCCTGGAAGGTTGACCTCCCTATAGCAGTCTATTCGGTTTATCTGGGTGTGCATGTTCATACATGGATCATACATACCAACACCTCTACCCTCTTTCAGGGCTTCCGGGCGGGTTCCTGCTGGTAGCTATTCTGTTCATTCGTGCGCGTTTTCGGAGTTGTTTTCGGTCAACTCTTCCCCAGTGCCCATGGCCGCTGCCTGCAACTGGTGCCCACGCAGCACAGTGACCCACTCCTACGGCGGGGAATCCGAGCAACTGGTCGTGCCTTTAACCAACTAAATCTCTCTATGCTGTTTCACTGGATTTGAGCCCTTGCTTCTTTTAAGTGTTTTGACATGTTTTGACCGTTTCGCTGGTTTTGTTCATATGTCTAAAGTCTCTGTACCTATTCGCTGGATTTAACTCTTGTTTCCTTAAGCCCGTTCTCTGGTTTCAGCCCTTGTGTTTTTAAGACGGTTTTCCGTTTCGTCGTTTTTTTGGTTTTGTCAGGTTCTTGATCATTTCGCAGGTTTTAGCTCTTAGTTTTTTTGTTTTTCAGTTTTGTTGTTTCTTACCTCTTGTTTCTTGACGTTTCTTTACCATTTCGCTGGTTTTAGCCCCTGTTTCTCTAAGTCCCTTGCCCTTTTGGTTTGTTTCAGTTCTTGCTTCTTTAAGAGCATTTACTGTTTTGCTGGTTTTGGTTGCTTCTGTAATTTTGTTGACCCTTTCATGGGCTTTCGCGTTTGCTCCTTCTAGTCTCTTTAATGTGAACCCCGGATTAATAACCTCCCCACATGGTAGCTCAACAAGGTCAAGAAGATATGAGATACCACTCATGCGGTCCACGTCCCCTGAATAATCTGCTATGAGACCATTGGACCATGAAGGATGATTCCAGGGTTTGATGAGCATGAGGCCAGAGTCCATACAGGAAGCAGCATCAGGTGAGAGGTGCTGAATGAGCAGCATGAGCTCAGAGTTGTTGAATGAGCACCATGAGTCGGGCTACTTCATTTGAAACCCAAGCATCAAGATTGATCAACACACACTTTGGGTCCGGCTGTACTCAATCAATGGTGTATACCACTGCATTCAGAAAATGTTAGGGGAAAAATGGTGCCTTAATTCCTTATTGATGTCATGTGGGAAGCAGGCAGAAATTGAAGAAGCTCCACATTTTGCCAAACCAAAGGGAGCGTCAATCCTTTCTCCGATTTTTCCTTTTGTGCACATTGCAGCCGTGCTTGCTGTCTCGGATCAAGCAATAACTTCACCACAGTTTTGTGATTTAGCCTCCAACTCAAGCTAGCGGCCATTCGACCCGAGGTCATTCTAAAAATAATCTTGCTGGTGGTTTGTACAGTAGAAAAGGTTGCCACTGCTTTTCACTTTGGGACCTGTTGCTCAATGGCCACAGTTCTGAAAGCATCTACAGCCTACCTCACAAGGGCGACATTTGCTTTGTGCCCGAGCTTTACACACAATTACAAAACACTCTGCAGCAAAAGTCAAAAAAATACAGGACTTGAAAACCCAATCATGCTGTTCATGGTTTTTCCTCCGCCTTCAAGTTTTAAAAAATGTCACGGTCACGCCGCAAATTGAAATCTGCAACCTCCTCAGCTCATCATGCGCGCGCTGATGATCTAAAAGCACACATGTCATTGTCATTTCACCAGAGAAAGAAAAAGAGGAGAAACCTGTGAGCAGGTCTTCCCAGAGGTGGTCATCATCTCTCAAAGATTACAACAATATAACAACGCGAGGTACTTGAATCACTCTTTGCACTGCCTCGAAATGACTAGAAATGGCCGGTTGGCAATTATCTGGATAAATCAAGGCCTGATATGACAAGCCGAGTCACCCTCAATCTTTCCAATGTTCGGTAGGGAGCCAAAGACATTTCGCTGCTCGTCTTTCGTTGCCTCTGCCCAATGAAGAAATGAGGCCCCTTGCCAGAAAAGTGCTCCTCCAGAACATTCCTGATGAAGGGAAGCTCCTCCATCAATCCCTGACGTTGTGCAAGCTCTGGCCGGGCATGCCTTCAGCCTCCGCAAAGCCAAATACTCGAGGAAACGAAAGCTCTCTGAACCCATCGTCATGGAGCCAAAAATGTCAGTGAGAGCTGAGGCCAGGAGATGACATCTTCGAAGCTTTGTCGCTGCACGCACTCGCCAAACCACTAGATTCAGAGCCTTTTTTTTCAACACTTGCAGGATTGCTATCATGCTATCAGCGCCTTAGAGTGACTTTTGGGACAGTTTTCAACCTAAAGCCTACCAATGTGAGACCCATGGTCCGCGACCCTTAGGGCAAGTTTAACATGGGAAGGTTCTGGGCTCTCGGACTCTTGGGCTCACTGAGTATTTGAGGAAACCGCGCGGCTCAGGAACAAGGAGCGAGCATTGTTGATGAATTGATAATTTTGTTTCTGGGTTGTGTGGGCTCGGATTAACTGGGGGTTTCTAGGGCCAACGAAGAGATTCAGGGGGGAAATAAGCCACCAATACGACTTTCTACTTGGGCAATTTTCCAGGGCTTGGTGGGCTCGGATTATCTGGGGAGGTTAATCCTAGGTTGACATTAGCGTTATAGCTGGTGTCAGCATTTGGTCTGGCAAAGCCTTGCAAAACATGTCTTAATAGGCCATGTTCGGATCATCAAAGACCACGTTTTAGACCTAAAAGACATGAATATTACTCTTTACCGTAATTACCCATTAAACTTAATCATTAAACACGTTTCCCTGATGTTTTTGACGTCATGGGACATCAGGGATCAAAGACCGAACAGTTCCGTAGATCTCCCATCCATACTTTTCCACACACAGATCCACAAATAGGCTTGACCCAAATTACATGATTGAAGGGATCTTGAAATTACATGGCTCGACCCAACACTAATTTGGACTGAACAACTATGTATTTATGTTATACATATAATATTGTTAACACATCAACACAGTTTATATGTGCAAAAGGACCAAAAAACCTCCGCAATTTTGCAAATCAACATCATTGGTTAGGTCACACACGGTCACAGGCAAGTTGCCCCATCAATTTTTGAAAGGCCGCTCAAAGTGGTCTGAACAGGTTCAGACTGCAAAGTGTCCTGTGCCAAGAACTTCCTCACGCCCAACATCCAGCAAACAAAACAACAGTGGGCGGTAGGAGACACCGTATGTGGAGGCACTGTACCCACACAATCCATGTTATATGGAATAGTTACATACATTTGCCATCATCTACCCCATTTATGACCCTAATGAAGGAAACTATTGAATACATGGATGGTATGGGGTAGGTCATTGCAACCAGCGGCTCGGCACAGAGTTGGCGACGGGAACTCCGTGGACGGCCGTGGAGCAGAGTTGCTTCTTGCACAGCCAATGGGCAGCCAGCGGTTTCCCCGATGAACCGATGGGCAGTGGCAGCCAGTTGCTTCCAACCAGCTGCGTGGCATTCCAGAATCGCCACGCAGCAAGTCTTGCACTTCAAACCAAGGCAGTGGATCCTTAAGTTCTAATCAATGGTTGTCCTTAGGACATTCAATGACATTCAAGACTTGGGACTAGGTAGCTGATTCCTTCAGTCTTCTTGGAAGAAAAATTGTAGCTGGGACACCAATCTCCAAGAAAAGTTCAATGATTACAAACTATTTGCTGATTGTCATGACCCAAAAATTGTGACTTACAAGCCCACAATTCCGCCCCGACAATTCTGTTCTGTTGGGCTGAAGGTGTCACCGTTTTTGGGGGGGAGCAGGCCGGGCCATCCTTCTGCCGAAACCTCGCCGTCCTCGCCCACCTCGCAACGTCCCACACTACCACCTGGGCGCCGTCCTCGGTGCCTGGACCGCTCTTCCGCTGCAGTAGGACCGCTGCGGCCGCGTAGTCCCGGTCGCCCCACTGGAAGAGCTCCAAACACATCAAGGCGACCTCGCGGAACGAACCCACTAGGGTGATCGGGTGATGAACGAGGCCATCGCGACGAACAAACCACGAGCTGGGAGGATCGAATACGGACATGTCCGCGAAAGGAAAAAGGGTCCGACTTCAGTCAACCAAATGTAATGTCAAAAATGTCCAAAGAAGTCAACCGTAATAGTTGATCCGACTTCAAGTCCAACCAAGCTGAATTGAGAATGATACAAGCATAGACCCCAAACAGCTTCAAACCGATTCATTTTGACCAATATTAGTCAAAAAATGATTTCTTGGTACGCCCTACCTTCACCCCAAGAGCAAACTGCTTCATCAATGAGTTTGGCCAAGACAAGGACAAGAGGAGGACAAGGCCCAGCCACAGAGGACAAGAGGAAGACAAGGCCTGAACACAGAGCCCAGCCACGGAGCCCAGCCACAGAGCCCAGCCACAGAGTTCAGGGGCGCGCCCAGTGAGTGTGGCCAGCTCTTTTGTTTCTAAGATAGAACCCCAACAGTAAACTGTTTAGGGAAAAAACATATAGAAACACTTGACGTACTGGGGAGAAATCGTGAGCACCAGACTGGTGCTGTTTGATGAACCTGTGAAGATCGCCATTGTGTGCATCAAACCAGCCTCTTGATGCCTCGCGTCTGTGATGACTGCTGATTGGCAGCTGTCCGACTGTCCGACACCCAAACATGATACAATTCTGAGGTGAGTCTGGGGCAAACTCTCCATCTTTGCCCTCTGCTGTTGGAGCGTAGGCTGTTCTGTTTGAGCCTGTTCAGTCTTCAAACACATCGGGTCCTCCTTGGTCTGGGCTTTTGCTGTCACGTCCAAAGCTGATCATACCAGGAGGTATACCAAAGAGCCCTAATGATTGCCATCCTCCCGAGGGTTTGACCAGTCAACGTTCCCCATCAATCCGTTGGAGCCCGGCACACGTTGCCCGAGAAGTGAGGAGGGCCCCTGGTATTGGTGACAGCTTCATGCCTTTACAGAAACACAAGGTTCATGCCACTCCACCCCTTTGAATCCATGTTTGTTTCCCTCATCCATTTTCGGGAACCCCCAGATCCTTCGTTCAATGCCTGTCCCGTGACTACACCCACCCACCAAGCCACCAAACAACGAAGAAAGAAACACAACCCAGGGATGCGCGCTCTACCGTCAAAGAAAACCCAACAATACTCAAAACACCACTTCTTCATGGCCACTTCGACACCTCTTCAGCTGCAAGTGCCGATTTAAAGTCACCGGTACTTTCCTCACCCAAGTAACCCAAGTACTCACTCGTCGACCAAAAGCAAATGGACACACCAAAAACCAGTCACTCGTCGACCACGTGACTCACTCCCCGTTCCCAATCGCTCCAAACGACTGGCGCGTCAAAGTGGAGCGTCAGCCACGCCTGGCGCGCCGTCGCGACGCCGTCGCGAGCGCCACGTCGCGTGGTGCACGCTGGAGACTGGAGGGCAGTCGACTGGGGTGAATGAGGTGGACTGGAGGGTTGCGGCTGCATCCTGGACTGGAGGCTGGAGGGTGAATGGGTGGACTGGAGACTGGAGGGCAGTTTCTGAGAAGCTACAGTTTCTTGAATAGTTGGATGCGGGAAACGGAAGTGGATGATGTTGCAGTGCCACTTTGGCCGACCAACCTAGGGTTGCCCCTACACTTTGAATTGATGCTGTATAGTCAATTTCTGTGAGTTCTTCACTGCCAAGAAGGATTGGCACTTGCAAGTCAGGCTCCAACACTCTAGAGATCCCTAGAGTGAGCGGGCGAAGCTTTTATCCTGCCTCTTCTGAGCCCTTAAGGAAGAAAGCAAGGAACAAGAATATACCCAGCCCCGTGCACTACTGTTGATAGTGAACCCAAATTCCACATCTTCCTCTTGGATGTCCTGTCATCTTTCCCGTATGCCAACCAACAGTTTCACATTTTGGATCCGAGCCTCTTCATCTGAAAGATGGCAAAGGTTGATAAGATGAAGTTGCCACACTTGATTTGGCAAAGAAACTCAGAACTAGCTCTTGTCTTGGCCTTGGCTCCTCTTTACCACAGAAAGCTGAGCCGTCCCGCAGTCCAAAGGGGACACCCAAACGGGTAGAAACTATAGAACATAGAACATGGAACATCAAGAACTGTTACAAACCATCCTTTCCAAGTCCTACTGTTTGTCTTATGTCGTAGGGTTCTCCAGCCTTAGTAGGATACACATGACATGTGTGTTCAGATTCAACTTACCAGGTACCCAGATGCTCCGTTCACAGCCCTTGTCTTTGGGTCCGACCCCGGGTCCAAGGTCCGGTGACCGGTGAACCACCCGCTCCACAGCCATCGGTCGTCGGCACCTCGTGCAGTCCGCAAATGTGGCAGGGAGCCCTCCACTCGGTGAGTGTGGAACCATCCAGCGCGCGGCTGGCAGAGGCACCCAGCCTCGACGTGCAGACGCGCAGCCCATGCGTTTTGGTGCGATCAAAGACGGAGAAAGGCTGGAGATTTGAGGATGTCCAACGGTTTTGTGAGGGAAGACTGGAGAAACAACATGAATTAGACATGTTTGGGTTGTGATAAATATATATATATATACAATCATACACATATATATACATATAATATATATATATAGTATTATTATATACTATCTCATGCAAATGCATGCATGCATTTGCAATGCGAGCTTTTGTCAACTTATGACATGATGGTCTTTGGCCAAGTTCAAACTTCGTTTTGGAGGTTGATCGGACACTGCCACCACTTTGGGCCAGCGGCCAGTGTATGACCATGGTTGTTAGAAAGGATCTTCTATTCACTCTCATGGCTCAGCTTGGGTGTAATATGCACTTCATAGTCATAGATGCATGCAGTTCCAAGTTCCAAGTGAAACTAAGAAGAGTCCTTGCTGGAGTTGTTGTAAACGTCTTGTGTGTCTACGCCGAAGAGCCCTTAGATCAAGGAAGTTGCATTTTCTCGTTCGTCCTCTTCTTCTTCTCCTCCTTCTTCATTTCATTTCTGGGCTCACCCACCACCACACCCAAGCCAGATATTTGGCTGACAACGACTGGTTCGAAAGCCATTGCTCCATGGCAAGTTATTTGGCCAACAACCCCAATCCCTTTTGTTCCCAAGGCAAGGGTTTTACTCGTTGACCATTGAGGTCTATCTGCGCTGGTTTTTGTGAAGGACTTACGGCCATACTTTCTCTCCACCAACTCAATAGATGCAAGTGACATTTTTTGTCAACTCTCTTCACTCCAAGAAAAGGTGTCTTTTTATCAATCTGTTCAATCTTGGGCTTGGGCGGGGTTCATGATCTACTTCGAAAACCAACACATGATGGACAGGATCTTCATGTGGGGTCAAACCTGCCCGTGGAACCCTCTGTCATCCTCTTACATACCGACAAAGGTTGAAGGACCCTTTTATCTCGCTTGGTCGCTCGCGTGTTTGTTGGCCCAACCGTCTCTTCTCCCCAGGAACACCCCCACCAGCTGGGTGAACCCCCACGCGCTTGCGCCCTCAGCCCGGGCAGGTGCTGCCGGCTCTTGGCAGTTGGGGTCTGAGAAGGTGCGAAGCTCGCCTCGGTGTAGCGATCGCCCTCCCGGCCCTCTTGGTAGGGAGAAAACCATCATGGAGACGAGTGCCTCGTTCCATCACTGTCTTGTAGAAAAGTGGAGTGAGTTCTGAGTGAGTGAACACCTGTGGCTATGAGTTCGGACGGCATGGTCTTCCCTTTTTGGCCATGCCATCCATTGGCACGTGTTCGTCGGAGTGTATTGAGCTTACATTGTATTTAATACTATATATTTCTAGTGAGCGAGCGTCAACGGAATAAGATCGGCAAAAGCACACCTGGAGCCTGTACGTCCTTCCCTAAGAACAATCAAAACTCTTTGGTAACACCCATATACGGCAAAAACACTATCATTATTGATGTCAACCTTCATTATGGAGAGCTGTTGGAGAGTGCTGGATGTTGGTTGGCAGTGGTTTCTACAGGAAAATGACAATTTCGGCTGGCGCATCATTCTTTGCATAGCGGTTCTGTGAGTATGCCGTGCTAGGGCATCTTCCTGTTCACTGGAGGCCGTGACTCCCCCCGGAAGTAGAATGGGCACGCCGAGGGAGAACCTTGGACTGTGTGGACTTCTTCAACTGAAGATGTCAGGACACTCCATACACCTCGGCAGTCGCGGTGTCAGTAACCGTCTAAGTAGCCCAACAAACTGCACCCGAAAGATGTGTTACAAGTGCTCCGTTCGGGTGAACACACCATCTTTGCGACGAAAACCCACGACATCTTTGCCTATGTGATCAAACACTTCTCCACATGTTGCCCGAATTTGACCACCAAAAGACGGAAAACACAGAGGTTTGTGGTGCCGTGCCATCCCAACGAATGAAATGCTCCTGCCTGTTCCTAGGAGTTTGATTGACCCAACTGCCCCAGTTCGACAATGGGTGAGTAATGATAAGTAAGCTATCGACAGGTCAACGTGTACAGCAAGTCACCCAGTAAACCTGGTTGCAACTATACCCAAGCACTCCATGTATGGAATATTTACTGCACCTACATTGATCCCAGGCCAAACCACCCAACTGTATGTCAACATGCCATATGCCATACAGGTTGTGTCTGGGATATACCAGGCAAGCTTTCTTCAGACTAGTCGGACCGGGTGGTCTCCTCTATCCTGCGCCTCAAACTGAACATCATGACCAGCAGTCACAGTCCATCTCTATGATTCTCTGAAGGTGATCATTTCCAATGGTTTACCCCCCAGACAGTGGTCAAAACCCCCTCCGCACACGGCTTTCACGAATGGTTGTGTCCGGTTGTACTACCGGTTGTGTCTGTCAAAACCCCCAAACACTCCATGCATATGGCATCATATGTCCCTACATTGAGGTGGTTGCAGGGGTTAGCGTATATACTAGTACCATTGATGGAGCGTCGTGGATGACGCCCAAAGGACAGGCTGTCCTTGACTGGACGGCTGTCCTTGACTGGCGCAGAATGACCCATCCCCAATCCCCTACGGGTCGGGACAAGGTTCTCATTGTACTGGAGTTGCTCATACTAAAACACTATACTCAATGAGGTTCTCAGGAAGTTTGGCCCTGGGTCAGACTGGACCTCTAGGGAATCATGATGCTCTTTTTGCGAAGTTGCTGATGCTCCAGCCGTAGGTGACCTGGCGAGTGTTGAAGCACACATGAATGGACCCGGACCCTGCCTGGCTAAACCCTCGTCCGCCCTGAGACACAAACAAAGTGATGGACTTATTCCCGACAGTTCCCGATGTATCCGCGGATTCCAGCTTTGATTTGAACCTAGAGATTCCAAGTCCGAACGTCGCGTTCGGAAAAGAACATGCGGGGACCAGTGTAGGACCCAAGGAATTTGGTGGGATTGCTACAGGGTGGAGAGATTAGCAGGTCATAGCCCCAGGGCCGCTTTGTTGGGGAAAACCAATGGGAAACCAATGTTGGCAACTCAACTCTTAATCTACTTGTTTCCCGCAATCTGAACTGCTTGACGATTGGGCTGTGGGACAAGGGACGACCAATGGGAGCTTCAAAATTCAGAAGAAACATTCCATCCGCTATGCAATCACCGGAGCCACGTGCCCAGCGGTCATACGTCCACCGTTCGGAGTGGCGAGGCGACTTGGTTTTGAACCAGGCCTCGCGGTACAGGTGTAACAATGTGGCATCCACCATGCAGAATGTTATTGATGTTGGACACGCGTCCAGGCCAAAGAAGGGTGTGGTTTTACCACCCTGACATTCGATTGGGTTTGGCGCCTGAAGTCAGTGGGCCAAAAACAATTTGGAGGAATTGAAAGTAGCCTGGCAGTCAACACGGAAGAGTTACGCTCTCCAAGGCCTTGGTTTAAGTATGAACCTCATGCCTACCGTCGAGTAAAGGACCCCACAGATTGAACTCCTCTCCCGCTTGTTGAGGCGGCCTCCAAAAGAAGTATCCCGGCAAGGGACAACTACGATAAGAAGAACTAGTCAAGGGTGAATAGACAATCTGCAGTCTAGAGTCCCAAGCACACTCACGTAAGAGCACACCTGAGGAGGGAGAAACAACAGCTATATAGTAGAATCGAGTATGCAGGTCTTGGTTGTAAGGTAAGAGGCAATGGGTGGTTGACAATGCACAAATACCACGGTGCATGAAAACAAATAGTTGAAATATGTTGAAATGTTTTCATGTTTTACACTTTTCTCATCACGAACGCTGCAACCAAAGCCTAGGTCCCTGAAAGGTTATATGAATGTATCATGAATGTGTAAAATGATTTGCTAACGTAACCTTTCACTTTGATTGTGATGCCACCGGTTGGGAGACACCGGCCACCGGTGGCTTCGGGGACGGCCAGCGGCCTCGGCATCGTTCACGAGGCGCCACGTGGTGCTGGGGCTGAAGCTGAAGTCGATGGGCGTCGTTTCGCCGCTGGCCTTCGAGGCGCCGGTCGGGGCCGATGGGACGGAGACTGGGCCCAGAGTGGAAGGATTGGATGCGGGAATCGGAAGGAGCTTGGACAATGGTTTGAAGAACTCCTCCATGCAATTCCTTCTTTGGACGGGGAGGAGTGTTTGAAGGTTGATACTGGCAAGTGTTCAGCGGTGATTAAGGGATGGGTACCCAACTCCCATAGATTTAGATGCATTTGGCAAACCCAAACATGACCGACCTGGCTTGAGTCGGACATTTTGGGACCACATGACAAGAATTGTTTGTGGACATTTATATAAATAATTTGTCCCTCGAATGCAAGTCGTTGAGTGGTTGAGTAGGGATTGTCCTACAGATTCGTGCCAGCAATCCAGCGGAAGCGTTTCTTCGACATTCTGTTTGTAGTGTTCACCTTAAAGTGAACCAAAGCTAGATCTACAATAAATAATTCTTTGACTGCTTCACCTTGGAGCCAAAGTGTTCCACATTGTTCCACTACCAAAAACGTTAACACATATTGTCAACGAGTCGGTCGACCGGTGGAGAATATCCCTGCACTCTCAAATGATCAAACATAATTGTGCATTCAGAAATTCCTGTGCTTCAGAAATGCGCCAGCACGTCATTTGATAAAAATAATGATACGAGTCAGTCTAGCTATCGGTCAGTCTGGCTTTGATCATCGCAACCGCAGGAGCCCCTGAGGCTACAGGAGTTCAACCTACCACTGAGCCCAAGCAAGGGTGGTGATTGGAAGATGTAATGCATACTACGCCGTGTTTCTCTCACTCTCAACCACCCAACTTCCGTGGTGCTTAACTTGAGTATATAGACATTCTTCAGTTGGTCTTTGCAGTGAATTGAGCATTCCACTCAACTTCTTTCCCCCTTGTGAAGCATAGATTGTCCATATCTACAAATACCGTGGCCACCTATTTGGCCGCATTCCCTACCACTCCTGTCCCACATCCTCAGAAAAGAAGTTAGACCCCATAAACTCCAACCACCTTCACCTGAGGATGGACAGGAGCCTGAAAGGTGGAGGTCCTTCCATGTCTAAACTAAACGAACGCGGCGGATCCCCGGGCGCCCGTGGATCTTCTGCAAACCCTAGGGATCCACTGCCACCGTACCTACATAATAAACATGTCCAATCACCGTACCTCAGAAGGTGCCAGTGGATCCATAGGGACGGTGATGTTGTTCAAACACGTGCTCCCCGAGGCTTGCCGACCAAGCCACCTGCGCCAGCAGCCCAACGATCCACTTCATTCGGCATGGGGCAGCCAATTCGGCATGACGATCAGTGTTGCTGCGGCATCGGAGCGACTGAGGATCCTACAGATCGGACCTCTGAAAAGTCTCCCATTCTTCCTGATCAGGTACCACCAATCAGTGGTTCATGGGGTTTAGCAGTGACGCCCCACACAACAGAGGATTTGGTGCATAAAGAGTGAAGTCCCGAAGGGACCACTAAGACATATTTTGTGTGGCTGTTCAATAAGAAAAACAAATATTTTATACACATCGAAGCAGGGGTCAGTCTCCAACCAAGGGTCGTTTCAATACATCGCCAATCTGACCATACAGTTCATATGGGCGTGTCTTAGAATAGGAAGACCCCTCAAAGACCTCTGGGAAAAGCCACAAGCAGACCATATCAGACTAAATCCATTGGTTGGGAGTTCCCTCCATTGTAATACAATCCATTTCTGTAACAAACGTATCTGGAAAGGCTTCGTACTTGGGTTTCTCGTGAGGTCGACTGCAGCTGAAGCTGCGCGAATACGGATCTGCGATGATCTGCGTCCGTCTGTTGGCAACATACAGCTTGGGAAGAGTGGGCTGAATACATCGGAATACATCCAAGAACCAGGTAGGTTTCATCCGCAGTGACTTGACAAGTCCTTCATCCGCGCTGCCGCACCGCAGGTCCGACTGGAGCCCGTCGTGTCTCGGTTCCACCGATGTTTCTGAAAAGGGTGAACCCAGGAGTTGGGCATGACATAGCTTCAACAGCTCACTGGGAAATGTTATATTCTAAGATTTTACCCATACCTTGCACATATCATGCGCTCCCAGTTTACTCTACGACTGTGTGGGTGAAACAGCATGTCAAGAAACATCTTATGAGACTTGTTACAAACGTTGTGTCTTTTTTGAGATGCTTTAAACATAAACCCATCCAGTGAGTGGATAATGAGCTCATCTACCCGTATCTCAATCAAGCACCCCAAAATGGAACTGGTTCTCAGTGGCTCCAAGAAAACAGTTTTTTTCGGTCACAATTATCAAAGGCGAGAAACTAGACAAAGAAGCTAGCAGCTACACCCCCAGGTTCTCGCAGCTGAGTATCTGTTGAATATGTTGAATCGTTGAACACAGCGCATATCCATGTTCCACTACCACCGCAATTGTTGATTTGTGGTTCCACAGACTATATAATATAATATATATATATATATCCGATAGCTACCTGGTCCCGTTTACTTCTTAGCCAAATTCCTCCAACAACCTCAAATACCATAGGCAAACTTTTGCATGAGGACTGTCATGATAAACCGATGCTCTGGAAACCACCGAACCGATCGCCCTGTTCGCTCTTTCCTGCAGGAACACAACAGTCGTTCCATGTGGTTCCCCTCATGGTTTGGCACAGAGCAACCACTTTCATTAGTTCTTTATGTCTTGCCATTGTGTTCTGGCTCTGCGGGCTAGGGTTGTCCAACCCCAGCGCAGTCCCCTCCATCTATTCCACTTCCATCATGATCCTACGAACTTGAGCGGTTTTGGGAAGTGCAGTTGTGGGATAGACCCCAACAATACCTTGAAGCGGATTGCATTTCTCAGCAACGAGCTTCCAAGTCGGTTCATTGCTACGGTTGTCAATGACGGCTAAGTTACTGAGTAGCTCTCAAATGCACATGAGTTTTAGTCAATTTGTGTGAAACAACACGTTGCCCCTCATGCTACTGCCAGATGATACCAACCCCAAAATATCTCAAGCAAAGTATCTCAAGCACCACGGTTTCCCGCCCGGCACATCCGCGTTTTTCGAACCCAACCGAGCTGGCTCCCACTGGCTCGCTAGCTGAGAGCGATCGGCCTGCATGACAGTGGCACCGCACTGGACTGAAGGGGAGCCAATGCATTCATGGAGCGAAAGTCTCCCATGGTGGATGTTCAAGTACAATCTTCCAGCCAATCTATAAGGATGTTTTATAAGGATGTTAAACGAGGCGAATTGCTAACAAACCCCACCACTATTGAAAGAATGGATTCGGACTGGGCTCGACTGTAACGTGATGACATGTGTGAAATGATGTGGAGACAGTCACATTCATCCAAACCAGTTACGGACAAACACAGGAGAACCACCAGTGATCGAAAAACACACAAAAAAAACAAAATGCAGAGACATAAAAACATATATTTTATCATATTTTATCAGCAGTTCGATAGGAGTAACTTTGAGCTCCCAAATTAATGGATAATGGGACCCCTACACTCCATAAACACCCATTTGGAACTGCTCGTGCTGACTATGATTATCCAGCCCTGCGATCGTTCCCTGTGTCGAGGCGATTGAACCCTCTTGTTTCACTGACTCAGATTTGTGCAGCTACCATGGGCCATTAACTATACCCAAAGGACATGGTAGGTGCGCTTGTAAGAACGCGGCGTATTCACAATGTCAATGTTTCAAGCTCTATAAAGTGGTAACTTACTTTAGTTTTGAACATTGTTTCCTCCCAGCGGTTCTTGACACACATTTCAATTTTTGTCTGCAGCACAGGTCGCCGATAGCACTGTACAACGACTTTATGGTGAGTCTGTTGAATTTCTTTTGATACTGTCACTGTCTCGGATTTTGGCCTTTTTCATCCAGCGTCCAGCTAAACAACACAAGTTCGTGGGTTCGCAGATCACTCACTTGAAGTGAAAATGCATCTTTGTTCCTGTTTGCATGTAGTTTCATCTTAGATGCACTTGCAATCGATCGTCATTAACCCTCCACCCAACCCACATCTACACGTCGTTGATCATGTTGTGCAACCAACGACAACAAACAATGTGCAAAAAACACTTGCAAAACTAAACTTGCAAACATCTACCTTGCAGATTTATTTTTTTGGAAGTGGTTTTGCGGTTTGCGGGCATTTCTCACTTCCACCCTCATAGTATGTGCCAAAAAAGTGACAGCAGTCGCGCGCTCTGCGAAGCGCTCCGGCAACACACTACTCGCAACAGGTGGCCAAAAACAAGGAAGAATACCAAACAAACCAAGCAAAACAAACTTGAAAACGTGGTAATGTGTTGGGTTTCCAATCTCTGGCGTCTTCTATCTTCACGACATATCTGTTGGCCTCAAATAAGGTTCGATGCATGCCATTGGCAAAGTCTGTCAAGGTTCTTATGAAGTCAGCAGGAGTGGCAGCCCTCTTGTGTCGTGAAATGCATCGAGCTAGCCAGCCGAAACATTGATCCACGTCTTCATGACTGTGTTTTGACCTCATGCAATTTAATGAAATGCTTTTAAGGTTTCCGCAGCTTACCTGCACAGCGCACCGTCGTAGAACCATGTTGTGTTTAGTTTGCCTGCTTGTATTGTCCACTTGCAAACACAGCTGGACCTGCGTGGGTCATTTTTTGTTTTTTTGTCAACATGGTCGACCGTGTGCGCGCAGGTTCTCGATGGACGTATTGCCCTGATTGATCGAAAGTAGTGGTTTTTGTGAACGAAAAATATGCAGTTTATTGAACTCATTAGGTTTGGTTCATCAATTCAGATTCCGATTTTATCTCTTCACGCCACGTTATGTATTGTGTGACAAACAGCGTTCTTAAAGCGTACTCCAAGCGACCTTCCAGAACGAAGCAAAACTTGCAGGTTTCTCCAAAGTTGTCGTTCAGTATGCTTCAGTCGACCTTTGATTTTCCTAGGGGTCCCCTCTAGAAGTCTCCCTGTTTCAGTTTTATCTTCCAGGCAGAAAGAAGCCGATGGAACCATATTTTGTTAAGAATACTGGGGAACGACACCCCGAAACGAAATCTGACGGAAAATGCGCTTTCCATTCACACTGCAATGAACGTCCCTCCCGCTCCTCCCTCAAGAAGGGAAGCGGCAACCAAACACAACAGTCCTGACCAAGGGTGTCACTTTCAACACTCCCCAGATTTACTTTGATCATGAAATGAGATCAGGCTTCCAGGTGTGAATTTCTTTGTTCGAAGTATTCTGAGCATCACATCGACAGCTTGAGGGACTTTCCACCCCTTTGAGACGCCACTCGACTCAAGGTCATAGAGCCAGCAAAAACTTTGAGCAGAACAGGAGCAGTTAGCTTGTGGCACTTGGCCAGTTGTGTCTCTAGCGAAGTCCGAAAAAGCTTCTAAAGCTGTTCGGACCTCTTCCAGATGCCCCTTGTTCATAATACGTTCGCTGTTTCCTAGCAGACTATGGTACAAGGCTTGTTCAACCTGTGCTGTGGATCAAAAGCTACTGCTCTTCGATCGTCTGTGGGGGAGGAGAAAAGATCATGGAGCCCTGCGTCCGTGCTGCAGCTGTTGGTCGGCAGTGTTGCTGGCGCAGGATAGCTGCTTGGGTGAGGAGCTGTTGTGCTTCAGTCACCTTGTCGGTGATGGGCGTCCTCGTAGTTCCTCTTGGTTTTGAGATCTGGAGCTGCCGCCGCTGGGGTACTCCTCGAAGGTGGAGTCTGCATGATACACCAGTTGGCATTGACAGGACACGCATGGCTCCGCACTTCGAGCGGTCTCCCGTGGAGCCCCAGGAACCTGACAAAGAGCGATCGAATCTTTCAAACGCGGTTGAGTCAACCGGGAGGCGGGACACTTGCTGTGAGCCACATGGTGGTGGTGGTGCGGACAATACAAGTACTGCAGCTCCTTCACCGTTCGCTTTCTCAGTGAAGCATAGGTGACATCCAAGCCAGCTGGCTTCTTTTGAATCAGGCCTTCGATGAGAGGTTCCTTGGTCATAGGAGTCCCATGAGAGCGGCAGTGCTGATAGAGAAGAAGGTTTCCGCTCCAGCACTCGGGACACTTCTTCAGCATTTTGGATGCCATGAGGGAAACAAGCTGTGTATGCAACTAGGAGGGTTCGAGGCTTCACTTTGAGCTGGGAATGCCAAAAAAACAACGCCAAACAATTTTCGCTTGCCGGTGCCAGTCCCACTCCATGTCTCTCCCACGATTTGTGATTTGTGAAGGTAATTTATGATTTCTTTCCTCAAGACCCATGAATCTCGTGG